ACTCATTAAAAAGGATTTGACACGTGAAGTGCGAAAACTTTCTATTTTTATATTATTTCCCTTTTACATTTTTATGGCAACGTGTGAGGAATTTGCCCTGTGCACGTGTGAGTGCTGTTTGTGTGTGTTTGTTAGTACGAACGTACATGTACGTGGGTGTGGGTGTGAGTGAGAGTGCGTTTGATGTGTGTTGATTGCCAGTGCCAAAAGAGCGAGCGCAGCGCCCATCAAGCCCAGCGTGTGAGTGTCGTCGACTTCTGCGTCGCCGTCGTCGTCGTCGTCGACGCTCGTTAGGATCTGCGGATTGAATTTCAATGGCGATTGATGACGGCTGCATGTGTGTGGTTGTTTGTGAGGGGGGTATTAGTCCGCACAGCTTGTACCGGGACCGGGACAGGCAACAACTTTGCCGAGGACTCAACCTCAACCGCAACCCGACCCAGAGCCCGAGCCATACCAAGAACGCGACTCCGATTCGAGTTTCCCGACTCATTTTATGATAATGCTCAAACCTGGCGTTAATGAGCTCTTAAGCTTAAATAAGAAACGTGATTTAGTTACTAAGTAAACTAGGAAATAGACGGCGTCGCCCCACAGAAGCCGTGAGTGAGCAGGAAAGGCCAAATCTTGGCTTAATTTGAAAAGTTTGACAGCGCAGTGAGCCAGGATGCGGAACCACCAGCCCCCACAAGCCCTCACGAACAAAATCAGGTGTGGGAAGCACACATTTACTTGCACAACTACCACACAACGAAAAACGGAATCGAACTCTTTGCATACAATATTTCCCCATTTAATTACCAGCCCGGACAGTCAAACAGCAAATGAAAAAAGTTTCACGATTCGTGTGAATCATTGCCTGGTCTGTTGGCCAAGCCACCGAGCAGCACGTGTCCATCTGCCATTGGATCAGCCATGCCAGTTTTAATAATTTCCAGCTCACCTCGAACTAATCAAAACTCAGAACTAGAATCGGACCCCAAACCAAGTCCTCGTCCACACGAATTGACAGTTCGGGGGGACAGAGTCCATGCAGGACCCTACACACTATGCACGACAAACCTGAAGATTGAATGCCCTTTAAAATATGAGCTCCACTAGAAATTCAAGCAAGTGAGAAAAAAAGTTGGGTACATCTATCTTCGGAGTCAAGTATAAAGATCTGTATACCTTGTAGAGATCCACTACCTGGACGACCATCCCATGCTACCCTTCCAGTAAAGGCATCACAAAACCAAACCCTTTTCATGAATAACTCAACTCACTGCGGCTCATGAAATTTATGTAAATCTGCTGGAAATTGAAATATGCAGATGCTCGTTTCGAAAATTAGGACGAAGCCAGAAACATTCGAGCAACAAAAATGTATGCATTAAAATATATTTCACATTTTATTAAATTTGGCAATATGATAAATTCTTTGGTGGGCGACTCTGTCGGGAACCCGGCCAGACCGAACTTAAATTAAGTAATAAGTTTCGTGCGCCTTGACCTCAAGGGTTCACACCCAGCAAAGGACGGGACGGAACAGACAGAAAAGGGCAGAACAGAGCCGAACAGGAATGGGACATGTACGAGTATTGGCCTTGTGTTGACACACTCCCGGCAGACTTTTGCCTTTTGTGGTCGAAAGGTTGAGTGCGTGCGAGGCAGACGAGCAGATTTTCTTATTAAAATTATACAGATCTAAAGGCGAGGCAAGACGTTTAGGGTTAATTTTGGTTGCTCATGAGAATCCCCAGACTCAGACCCGGACCCAGATACGGAGCCAACCCAAACCCCAACCCCAAGCACGAGGCACAAAAGTTAATGTGATTAATGTTTACTTAATGAAATGAAGTTATCAAGTTGATTTTATCAATTTACACACAGGCGCCGGCACGGACAAAGGACCTCTCTAGAGACTGTCAAAACTGGCGCCGGTGTGATGAAGGTGCTCGATGGGATTAGGTGGGTTTTCCACTCGCACTCGCACCCTCACCCCCACTCTTTCCCTCTCTCTCCCTCTGATGAAATGCAAAGAGGCAAGCGGTTTCTTTGGGTTGAAAGGCATATTAGTTAAATGTGGTTGACAAGCGGCTGCTCAAGCTCAAGTGTTGGCCAGGCAAAAGCAAATATTTGAAACTTGGCAGAGCCAGAGGAAGCGGAGCAGAGATGAGCCAGTGATGGCAGCCAGTGAGCCGTGTCAATGGATGTCAGTGCTGTGGTGCGGTTGCTGCAATCAGTGGACAAGCCAAAAAGGAATTCCATAAAAACAAGTTCAATTAAATCTACGCCAGTTGGATTCTCCTTTGCGTTTTTCGTTAATCAATGCGTTTAACATTTTCAATCAAGCAACAGCAACTGGCAAAAAGACACCAGTCGAGAGGGGGACGGCGACTGCACAGACACAGACACAGACCCCGACAGACAGCTCAAATTCAGTTAAGCATTTCACTTATTTGCATATAAATTGATTAAAAAGAAAATACATGCCAGACGACAACTCGCACAGTCAAGTTTTGAGTGTGTCAACATGGCAAAGGACGAAAGGGTCCTTCGCTCTTGGTCCCATTTCCATTTTCATTCCCGATTCCCGTTCTTCTTTTCCTCGTGGATGTTTTTCTGTTACGGTTTCTCCGTCTGCTCTTTCTTTCCCTCTTTTTTGGCAATTTCTGACACTTCAAATGCGTATGATTGTTTTCCTTTTGATCAGCGAATTGTGAAGTGATTCACTGATTGAGTTCGGGCTCAGTTGATGCGTTGACAACATCAATGCACACACTCCTCCAGGATACCGACCCCGACCCCGACTCCGTCCTAACACTCACACTCTGCCAGGCATTCAGTCATCCGGGCAAATGCGTCGTAGGTGGACTCCGTCAGTCTCTGTGTCTCTGGTCAGTCAATCGCTGCTTTTTCTGTAAGTCCCTGGAAAAGCCGCCAGCGAAGGTAGTGGCTGTGGCAGTGTCAGTGCCAATGGCCAGCCATGGTCCGACTGTGGATCAAGGTGAACGACTAAACTGACCTGAACTCCAGCAGGTAAAAATTCATTCATTCGCTTTTACTTCAAAATGGTCCGCAAATTATTTTTTTGAGTAGCAATACGACTTATGTAACTGCAATTTCAAAGTCGCAAAATGATAAAGAAGCAAACACTTTTCTTCTCATGATCAGAACAGCCGCTGATTGTATGAATCTAATTCAAATCCAATTGAATCCAGAGTTCAACGCCCTTTTTCCCTCGCGTAGTTTCACTAAAGAAAAGTGAGGACTTCGCAACAGTGGGGTTCCCGGAAGGAACTTTTAATTTATTCGCGCTAATTATAGGGACGTGAGTCACCATCTGCGGCATTGACTGGGCTCAATGTGTTGTTGTGGCACGCCCCTGGGTACAGCTGTTGCCTAGTTCCATTTTGTTCCTTTTTATTTTTCGGCAACGCCGCAGCCCTTGGCATGAGACACAGTGCAGAGGGCGAGTGCCGAGGCCTCTATTTAGTTCACTTTCAATTCGGTTGCCGCGATGTTGCTGAGGACCATGCGCACGGATGGCTTGCGGCGTAGCCTCAAGGTCAATATTGTATGAATAAATCATTAGTGGAGCAAAGGGCAGAGCTTTATTTATGTAGGTGCAGTGGTTCAACTGAGTGTTTTTCAATGCATATTACGCATACGCCCTAATGGTCGCAGAATGCCTGCCAGCTGTGATTCGTGAACGAATAATCGTACTAATAATAGTGTTGTCGCACATCTGGGTCACTTGAGGCAAAGATAAAAAAATGGTGCTTACCCTGCCCCTGCCCCTGCCCCTACCGTGTGGCGTGTGTGTCCACGTTATTTTCGTTAGTGGTCAACCGACATGGCAATGCACTCAGGGCGTATGCATATTATATTCGACACATTGGACACGGCCTGTCCTGCCCTGTCCTGTCCAACAAAACAAGCTCCGATTGCAGCCAAAGTCAAGGCAATTTCGCAAATTACATGTCCTTGCTGCAAGTAAATAGATACGGGCACCGCAGGGCCCCACAACAAGTGCCACAAGACAGCAGCAACAGCAACACAAAATAAAATGGAACAAATAATCAATACTTAATTCTGGGCTTGAGTTGAGCTGCAACAACACTACAGTGAAAACTTGATCAAGAGATAGGTACTAGATAAGGAAAAAGAAGATAATTATGAAAAAATTAAATGAAAATTTTAAAATTAATTAACTAATTTACTTGTACTTTCCATATGTTCATATGTATTTCCTCAAAAACATGAGTTTATGCAGTCCTAACATAGATCGATTTTCGTCTTTGATGCACTCATTTTGATACATGTATCATGTATCTACGCGCATTCCCATTTTACAATCAACAAAAAAGGAAGACGATTATTTTCCCTTCAGTTATATTTGACTTTGCATTTAGTGTTTTTTTGTCAGCCCTGGCGAACACCACAGACCGCATACTTTTAGTCGCTTTCATTTTTGTTGATCAATTTTGCAGAACGCGCTCGCGTTCCCCACTTTTTTTTATCTTTGTATCTATTTTGATGGCTCATGTTTGTCGCTGGCAAACATTCGCCGGCGACAGGCACGAAATTGGCCCCCGAAACGTCCCACACTTTAATTGAAATAAAATGTTTAGAAAGCCAAACAGGTGAGGCAGGGTGAGAGAGAGGCGGGGAGAAGTACATAGAGACACAGAGCTATCAGATGGATGAGTCAGGTGGCGCGTCTGTGTGGGGCGCACTGTCTGTGTGGGGCGCACTGTCTGCTCTATATGACCGTAAATGCTTTTTAGTAACTAGTTTGGGCCCCTGCCTCCCGCCCCCCATCCGCCCACAAGCTCATATTTCATTTCCATTCATTCCAACGCGCTCTCTCTCTCTCTCTTACGAACGTGTGTCTGCATCTCTCTCTCCTTAGCTCTTGCTGTCTCTTTCTGGGCGCACTCCGCTGTTTATTCATTGCCGCCGTCGCCGCCGCTTTACTTTTCGCTTTCAGTTTGCATTTCAAAGCCGCTAAAGTAACAAGTATCTTGCAGTTATCCATTCAGTGGAGCGAAAATAAAAACATCGAAGCCAGTGCCAGTGCTGAAAAGGCGGGGAAACACACAAATTTTGTGTATAGCCAGTGAAAAGGGCCTTTGAAAAAGCCACCATGGAAGTAAGTTGGTCTTGGTCTTCGCTAACTTTTTTCGGGTTTGCTGTTTCGGGTTATTTGTGTGGCTAAACTCTTGCCGACGACCTTCACCTTGGTCTCCAATTAAACAAATTGCGAAAAGTGCTTTCGCCAAAATGAAAACCTTTCGCACAAATTTTCCCTCGACTTGCGCTGAAATCAACCTAATTGAAAGCATCCGCTTAAAGCTCTCTTGTGACGCAACATGAGAGAGCATCTTGGGAGAGATCAGCTGAGGCGTATCGAGTTAGTCACTCGATACCGAGTGCTGACGACCGCGGCCCCTCCACTGATCTTTGCGCTGGAATTGTTTTTCATTACACATTCGGTTTAATTACATGTTCCATAAATGGAAATTTCAGTTAGTCAGTTTTGTATCTCTGGAAATATCTTTGTGGTTGTAATAAGATATATGTATATTTATTAAGCGTAAACTCATTTTGAAGTGTTGATTCATTGCTTAAGAAGGCCAGATTATCTGGCGTTTAAAAAAAAACCTGCATTCCAAACAATTAGACTTTTACGTATATTCCGTATAGTATTTTTTGCGAAACACGTATGGTACATTTTTGTGTAATTTCTTGGGGAGATATGTTTGTAAATATTGTAATTAATTGGAAATTTCTTCCTGGCTCTAAACAATAAACATTAAACATTTATACTTATAGCAATACTGGAAATAGTTAGCTATATAATAGTTCTGAATTGTTAGGAACAAGACAATAATTATCTCTCTATCTCCTGATGTACAAACAGCTGAATAGAATCAGAATAATCAAAAGCTTCCTTTCTTTTACTTTGTTTGAAGAGGTTAATAAAATCAATTCAATGACAACTACTTATGTTGATATGTCGTCTTGGTTATCATTAAATTTAAATGAACCCTTGGTCTATTTAACGGGACCTTTGAGAGAGTGGTTCATGAAACTTGTCAAACTGTTATTAAAACACTTTAGGCAGATATGTAATTAACTTGATGTTGAAAAACGTAACTTGCAGTACCCCAACGGCGACCTCTACACGCTCGAGGCGAACCTGATGAACAAGTCTCTCCGGGAACTGACAGATGGTGCCGACAAGGATCCCATTACCAAGCTGCGTCTGCTCTGCTTCAGCCGTGGCGCAACAGGCATCCTGGGAATAGGCAGGTGGGTCGCTGATTGACTTTGAATGACATTTGGAATGGCTTCAGGTTCAGCTTCAGCTTCAGTCACGAGACGAAAGTGTGCCGCCGAGTGCGATGAATTATGCAAGAGTAACAGTTTAATTTTATATTATTCATTGCAGAGCCTTTCGGGCCATGGACGACGATGGCAGCAAGGCGCTCAACGAGGAGGAGTTCACTTCGGGCATACGCGACACGGGCCTGGATGTGACGGATGAGGAGATCAGGGAGATGTTTAGCACGTGAGAGCCTAATGGCCGATTAATCTGCTTGCAAATTTAATTATTTCCATATCCAACTTTCAGGTTTGATGAAGATGGCAGCGGCTCCATTAACATGACTGAGTTTCTGATCAAACTGCGCGTAAGTTGGCCAAATTCGCAAATAATTGTTCGGACTTTGACTTTGAGAGTCCTTCTCTGCAGCCGCCCATGCCACAGTGCCGCGTGGGCATTATCGACCAGGCCTTTGACAAGATGGACCGCGACGATGACGGCGTCATCACCGTTGCCGACCTGAAGAACGTCTACTCGGTGAAGGAGCACCCAAAGTACCAGAGCGGCGAGATGAGCGAGGATGAGATACTCACGGACTTCTTGCACAACTTTGAGGGCGGTCGTGGCAATCTGGATGGGAAGGTGAGTCCGAACTGCTTCGCCATTGATGGTTCGTGGCCTCTAATATGAAATTTATTATCTAGATAACCCGTGAGGAGTTTATCAACTATTACGCCACCATCAGTGCCTCAATCGACAACGACCTGTACTTTGATCTGATGATGCGTAGAGCCTATGCCATGTAACTGACGGATTACAATCCCAGCACAGAGCATACACTCGAACCACTTAAATCTCGATAGCTCGTCTAGTATTAGTTCCGTTCATGCTTTATTTATGTTTATACACTCACACTCCAGATAAATAAAAACTCCTGGTTACACTCACAATTAAATGCATGTCAGCTTAACGCTGATCCTTCTGGGCAAAGTTCCAAGTGCTCCAAATGTTCGTCTGGAATGAATTACGAGTATGTACGGTCATAATTCGAATTTGAAATACTTTGGCAACTGGCTGGGATTCTTGGCGAAGAATCCCGGTTCACGTTTGTGGGGAGCCAAAGCGACTTAAGCCAACTGCAAGCTTCTTTAACTCTGGGCATGTGAAGTGTTTGTCAAATATGCAAAATAACAAGTAACAAGTTTTCTCTAAACATTTGTTCGTAGTTTACATACACGAAATTTAAAGTGTGAGTGACTGTGTGTGTCTGTGTGTGTGTGTGTGGACGTAGGACCATAATCAAGCCAGAGCGCCAAAGACGGCAATCATTGCAACAAACACGGACACAGCCTCGATCCTGTACTCCAACTCCAGCTCCAGCCCTAGTCCCAGACTCGGCAAATTGTTGGAAATTGTCAGCAGCAACGAGATGGTGTCATCTCTGTGTGCGTCTGTGTGCCACAGTGTCAGTGTGTGTGCTGACTGGTTGGCATTTATCACACAGCCAGGCCGGAGATGCTGAGCAGCGGCAGCCTAAATGTATGCTTTAAATTATGCAGACACCAGCTGAGATTGTCGCCACATGCATCCCTATGTGTGAATGCTCCTGTGTGTCTGTGTGTCTGTGTGTGCACGTGCATTTGTTTGTGCGTGGCAAGTTTGGGCACTGATTGCAAGCAACTCATACAAAATTTTAATTGCCAATGTTGAAATTACGCACTGAGACAAAGAAAGACTGAGGCAGTGAGACAGTGCGAATGTGTGGCAGGGAGGGGGAGGGGCTGGGAGAGCGAGAGCCCGGAGAAGACAGACTTGGCTAACAAACCATATGCAATCGTGCCTTGCCACCTCCCCGAGTCTGAGCCTGAGTCTACCAGTGCTGTGTAAATCACACAGTCACAACTTTATCGTATCATTTCATTAAATTTTATTTACAGCCTGGCAACTGACGTCGGGCCCCCATCCCTTTGGCAGTTTGGAGTTGCCGAAAGTTCTTGCTGAAGCCCCAAATGGCTCGGCTAATCAAAAATTTTCCAATGCCATTTTGTTTGGACTCGTTTGCAAGTTCTTTTCAGGCCCTCCACATGGCCGCACCCGTTCGAACATGTCAGGCCCCCACAAAAGGCAATTTCAATTAATTGCCTCTCGAATGAGGCTCTGGCACTCAGTTGTTTTACGCTCGTAAGCCCGAAAACTCCTTTTCAATGGCTTGCCAACACTCACGTTCACATTCACATTCACACTCAGCTTCCAGAGTGTGTGCATAAGCATTACCTTCCGAAAACATTTATATTTATTTATGTGTGGAGGCCAGGAAATCAATAAAAATCCCATATAAATTAAGAGATTTGTCGGTCAATGCATCGCCATGGCTCTATGGGATTGAAAATAGCAAAAAGCCGACAGAAATTCCATCTTCCCTCACATCATCCAGCAGGATGTTTGAGGATATGAAATGGGACTCTCTTTGAAGAACTGAATAGTTTATGGGCCTGAAAAATATCGATAGAAAATTTAACAAATTTTAAGCTCCAGCAAAAGAGGCTCAGTAATCGGTAAGTAAGTTCAGTGTGCTAGTACTTTGCTAGACTTGTAAAGACTAGTACCAATAACAAGGAGTTAACCCCAAATATTCAGATGATCTGCAAGTTGCCCGAATATCTCAAATAGCGAACCTTCGAAGAGAGCTTTCGCCTCCGGCGGATACGAAGGCAGGAAGGAGCGACTAATGCATTATTTAAATCTAGTTAACACTTGGCCATTTCCCGTTGATTGAAAAGGACAAAACAGGAGAAAAGGTGAAAGGACATCTCGTTTTACAGAGGCAAAACCAGAGCCAGGCCCGAGAGCGAGAGCGAGAGAGAGCTGAACAAATGGAAGAGCAGCACATAAAAATAATAATAATAAAAGACAGCCACAGGCCAACGGTCCTTGGGACATCATTGACTGGGTATTGAATACATTTCATTGCATTCAGAGTGGGGTGTGTGACCGGAGAATGGAGAATGAAGACCGAGCCGAGCCGAGCCGAGCCGAGCCGAGCCAAGAACGGATGATGGAGACGCGGCGGGATGCGGAACACGGAATGGTAAATGGCGAAAATGTATCCTTCTGTGGTAGGCATTGAAGTGACGAAACTGGAAAATATTTCAGTCACGTTTTAAATGTAAAAATCTCAATCACGTGATCGAAATGCGCGCATTCAGAATATGCACAGGCTACCAGCTAAAAAAAAGACCTGAAAGAGAACCAGAGGACCACACAACCCCATGGGCAGACACACAACCAGACCGAGACAAAAGCGTAGGACTTGGTGTGGGATTCCACGTTGGGATTCTGGATAGGGCCCGGGCACTTGGCCAACAGTAAATCGAAATGAAGCCCAGGAATAAATGCGGCAAAAGCCCTTAACAGGTACTTGGTGGATCGATGAGTTAATGTCGCCTTCGCCATTGGCTGGATTGCAGTCAGCCGACGCGTCGATGGCTGCCGTGGCGTTATCTAATGATGTTATTGTTGCTGCTGCTGCTGGCTCCGTTGCCGTTGCATTATTTCTGGCCCCCCAAATTGCATAATGTATGCAAAAAGCTTAACTAACTGTGCGCATCGCTGATTGAAAAATTGAAATCATGTGCCATTTACTCGCACAGCAGTAGCCCAAGCAGATCTCCACACCGTTCCGCGAACGGGCGCACACACACACACAGACACGGGCGGACACACACCTACGTGTTTACCTGTGGACAGCACACAATTCGCTACAGTTTCCGTTTCCTTTGCACGCTTCTCGTGTGATTTTCACACCGCTCACTTGATTGATTGAAATGTTCGCCATTCCCATCATATATGCCCTCACAGAAGGTATATTAAAAGTGGCTATAAGCTCATAAAGAAGTGTGTTCATGATGTTCATGACAGGCCATCGTTGTTCTCATTCTTATATATATTAAAATAATTTGTAATTTGATCATCTTCACAGACTCCTCAAGGGTATATAAAGTTTCGGACAGTCGAGGGTTAGCTCTTCATGCCTTTTTGCTTACTGCTGTTATAATTTTTTATTCCGCTGTGTGGTGGCACTTTGGTTCATTTTACCCCCCCTTTTTTTTGTAATAAAAGCGCTCTTGTTAAATTTTTTGTCAGTGGAGGGCCTGTCATGTAACGCTGGTTTAATTGCAGGCTATCGATACTCGAGGGCCATTGGGAATGTTTAACTTAATTCGCGATTGATTGATTGTTTCAAAAAGTATTAAGTGGGTTAATCTGTTGTAATTAACAAAAAATTAATCATAACATATTTTGATAAGCACAATAAACTCAAGTTTTTTCAGATTTCGAGTGCCAATATTTATTATTATTATTATTTTGTATCAGTTGTTAAGAGATAACAATGGAATTTTTCCCGTGAAATTTCGATAAAGAGTCAATTACTTTGAATGTGGTTGAACAGAATAATCTAATGAATTTTGGTTTAGGTCAGATAACACTTGCTTTGGTTTGCATGGTGCATCTTGAAGTTGAGGCACTGATGTTGATATAACCTTATGTACTTTAAGGTATACTATTAGGTACTCCATCATACAGCGAATGTGTTCCATTCTGCAATACCAGCTGCAAGACTATATTCTGGATAAACGCGGATATACGTATTTATATGAAATTACTGTGGATGTGCGGGGTCAATTGTCTCAAAGTGGCCAACTTTTGGCGGAGATGCATTCACCCAATCGATTTTTGTCTGCTGCTGTCACATTGCGCATACGCAGCGTTGGCGGGTCGTGTGCATCTGAGCCGCCAATTTGTGGGGCACATTAAAATGCAGTTAGCCACGGGTCAGAGTCAGAGTCAGAACCAACAACCAAATGGCAAATGTTAATGTTCAGCTATTGCCGGGCATTAGCTGCTTATGAGTTTTGCTTAGCGAAATTCGCATTTATGGCCGTGTTGCAAATGAACATGCAAATGCGCGTTTTATTATGGACATTTTATTATTGTGCCAAAATGTGCCATTAAATACATCAGGTGGTCGTGTTTTTGTGCGTCTGCTCTCGGGGTTGTGGTAGTGGTAGTGGGGTCCCATTGCGGTTTTGTGCACGGCCATTTATATGCCAAAAAATGTATTTTCAACATGACAGCGGCAACAAAAAATCAATTTGTAAATGTTTTTGGAGTCGCAGCGAGACAGACAGCCCCGACCGGGAAGGGAACTTTCACAATTCGCACAACTCTTTGCTGCGCAGCGCGGCGCGGCTTCTGTTTCTTGTTGTTGGGGCTGTGGCAATTGCCGCTGCATATTTTCAGTTATTGCTGGCAGAGCGAAATGCACGAAAAACTGCCAAGTGACCCCATTGGCAGCTGCAGTGTCCTATCCTGTCCGTTTTGTAATTAGCGCTCGGTGCGACTCTGTTCTGCTGCTGCTGTTGGCACTCGGGGAGTTTCTGACCCCAATTACTTTGTCACCATTTCAATTTGCAATTTCAGCCATTAACTAGTTACACTCAATGCAATTAAACTTGCACTTTTCCAGTGGCACCAGCAGCAGGAGCAGCAGGAGCAGCAGCAGCAAGGCAGCAAGGTAGCACCCTGCAAGAAACGCGCTAAACTTGCCACGCCCCCTGACATCGGAATGATGTCAGCAGTTGCAGCCACCGCATAGTGTTGTCCCTGATGCCGATGATGGTGCTGTTGTGCGAGTATCTGTATTCCAATCTGCGGTTGTTGTGTGGCACAGAGTGAAAGTGCCCGCCACTGCCATTCGGCACACCTATACATATTACGAGTACACACACACACACACACACACACACATACAAACACTCAGGGAAGTCCTCGTCGTCCAGCTGCATGTGCGTTCCATTGGAATAATTTGAAATTGGAAAAAACATTCTCTTTTTTCCATCTTCTCATTGAGTTAATTGCAAATTGGATGAAATTGTAATTTTACACTTCATTTGATTCAATTCATGGCTGATTGACAATTTAGTTTTTCATTAAGGTAGTTCTTCAGGGGGCTTCGGCTTCAAGGATGAGCCAAGAAATTGTGGCCAAATATGACGGCTCCCTGATTGCAGGGAACCCATGAAGCTGAAGAACGGAAAGTATGTCAATGTGCTGGGCTCCAGCGACGGGGAATGGGCAGAGATACAAGAAAAGCCCTCAATTTTATCCAAAGACTCGCCTGGAGAATGATCAGCTTCGAATATATTTACACATTTATTCAACAGAATATTCAAATTTAGACCCTAGACCACAAATGGCATAAACAAACCGCAAAACTCAACAAAATGGAAAACTGTGTTCTTGTAGGCCAAACACGGATTCCAAACTTGCAACAGATAGTGTACTTTTGTTTGCAACAAAATTTGAGCGTTAAATTCTTTCCAATCGAGAAGGCATTAAACTGTGAAAATGCTATCGTTCTGCATATTTGAACTTTGCAGTTCCATGTCAGGTAAAACATGGCTGCAATAACTTGACAGGTGTAAATTATGATTCACTGATTTTAACTTCGGTACGATTTATGCTCATCATAATTTTGTAAAAACAAACTGCTCGCTGTAAGAGTATAAATTGAGTGTGAAACCGGTTAGGTCAATAAATAAGTGGCATCCTTAGTCTCTTTTCGTGGGCTGCAGCCCACGGAGCCCACCATGGAACACTCTACAAGGGCATACTCATTGTAATTGAATAAAAAATCAGCAATTAAATTGCCCGTAAACAACATTTGACTCGGATCCGATTCAATTGAGTCGAATGTCAACAAACAGAGGCTGATTGCATCGCAAACACTTATTTGACTGCAGCTGGTAGCGAGCCTTAATGCCGCACCTCAGTTACTCGAAACAACAGTTACCTGGTTGATCGGATTAAATTTATTATGTGAAAGCCCGACACCTTTGTCCCTCATGTACATCGGCAAACTAACATTCACAAAGCTCGTACCAGAATCAAGTACCAGTATCTCAATATTTCACAAAGTATAAACGATAAGTGATCGAAATAGCCAGAAAGAATCTGTAAAAAAAGAAGGATATCGAACCGCAGCCGGTAGGATTCGAACCTACGCTCCCAGAGGGAATCTGATTTCTAGTCAGACGCCTTAACCGCTCGGCCACGGCTGCTTCTGTAACATTCGCCCACGAAATCTATTGAAAATGCCTCTACCTATGGTAAGTCTAATCTATAAATAAATCAAAATATTTAGCAAAAGCTTCCAAGAAATATTTATAAAATATTGTTATCTGAACAGATAAGTTTTTTTTGATAAGTATTTAATTGTTGTTGCTTTCTAAACTTATCGATCAGACATGGCATCGAATATCTTTTTAAATAGTTTATATACTGGATCTGAATCTAAAAACATGTTTTTGCAGAAAATTTGGGAATATTGGAATATTATTATTACTAAATGAATAAATAATAATATAATTTCAAACGACATCAGCAAGAAATCGAAGTGAGCGCCAGTGACCAAACGTTTTATGGGATTTTTTTTCACAGAGCAAAAAATGTATCAGTCGGGGATGGGATTTTTCACTAGCAAGCAGCTATTGAGATTTTCCGCAGATTGGGAGGCAAATAAAACCAGTTTACGGACTTTCAGATGCCAAACAAGACGACGTTTGGCTTAAAGTCGGGCATCTCGTTGTAAGAGTGATTTTCGGCGAATCTACTAGATGTGCAAGTTCATAAATAATCGTACTACTGGTCCTATTTTGGGTATCGGTGAACTCTCAAGGAGGAGAGACTTGGCATTCTACGGCGTGACTTTAAGCTTACAATCAAGCCAGAATCATAATTTCTTAAATTTTCGGAATCAAAAGAAGCTTTATAGTGACTCACAACACTGTTTCTTTAGTTCTACTTCAAGCTATATAAAAATAAATCAATAAATGATACTTTCTTGCAGAAATGTCAGCAAACCGTTTATAAAATCATGTTTCTCTTCCTTTTTATCCGCATTCCTCTCACCATTAGGGTTCTGTAAAGAAAATAACTTTATCACAGCATATACTGGGAATGGGCTAATCAATTATTGAAGACTGTGGTCGGGAATGTGCGCCTGAATTTGGTTCATGGTAAAATCTGCGTATGCATGGCATGCATTACGCAAACGCTACGGCGCGCCGTGTGGTAACACGTTATAAACAAAAGTCATAAAGCAAACTTAAAGTTATGAATTTTTCAAATTCCTGATTTATATGTAGGGAAAGTTTTTTACATCCTTCCCCCCTCCCACACACACACGCAGAGGAATCTTTGCGTGTGTGTAAGTGCAGCCCGAAAGAAGTTGACATTTTTTTCGGTGTTTCCTCTGCATTTTTGGCAAGTTTTCCATCTTTTTTTTAGCATGGCATAAAGTTGGAGTTGTCACGTGACTTGAGAACAGAGACGAGGGAAGCTCACATAAAATAAATAGCAGCCAGATAGAGGCGACTCCTGGCAGCAGGTAGCTGCATATAATGCCTTGGCATGTGCTTGATGTGGTGTGAAAAGCGCCGGAAATGGTATTTACAGCAGACTAACTTCCTGTTTAGCCGGCAAAGGAAAGTAAAAGAAAGCGTAGGTAGCATATGCTCGGGTGCACGTTGTCTTTGTTTTAATATTCATATTTGAGCATCAAAAATTATTCGTGGAAATTAAGTTGCATTCTAAACAGGGTGGTTGGAGGGGTCCATTCAGTGGAGAAGAGTGAAATAGCGTTACGGAGAGATGAGACAACGAGCAACGAAGTGAGCTTAAAAGGGACAGCAACGAAAATGCTTTGAATTTAAAATCTGCAATTTTCTGTTGATTGCCGCACCCAGGAGCAGCAGCAGAAGCAGCAGCAGCAGTGGCAGTGGCAGCAAAGTGCAGTTATACTGTAGCATACAACAACAACCTCAAAGTGTTGGCGGTTGGTAACTGGCGAGTGGAGAATGGAGGAGGAGCTGGAGCTGGAGCAGCAGCGGCAACATCATCACAACTTTTGCGTAAAATTCCAGTCATGTGTCCCTAACAAATCCCTGCATTATTCATGAAATGATAAGATGACTTTGTGCTGCCGTCGTCGTCGGTCCTGCTCCTGCTCCGGCTCCGGCTCCACCCGCACTCCCTACTGTTGCTGCTGCTGCTGTCTTCTATCTTCCAGCTCTGCACGTAATATTTTTACATGCAGCTGCAGTCCGGACAGTCGGACAGCCGGACAATCTGCCCTGGTTGTTGTCTGCATTTAACTACCAGGGATATCCGTTAACTATAAAACTTGACGCAGACAGCAGCACGAAAGGTGCCAGGCACGCCGCTCAAAGGCAGGTGGGAAAAGTTATCCTGCTATTGGCCAGCCTATATGAATATGTTAATGTTTAGCAGAAAGGAGAGCCCGATTCCTAACCCTGAACAATCGGGGGGGACTCCACTTTATAGCAGGATGGCTGATAACAGCTGTTTGCTCTGACAGCAGCAGCTACTGTTAAGGGTTATAAGAGCGCTGTTAAGGCCTATACAGCGCTGTTAGAGCCAAAGGTATTCTCCAAAAGGCCAAGCGACAAAGCTACAGAGTCGCTGTTGCTGCTGTGGCGCAGCATCCTCTCTTCGACTCTCTTTGCTGGTGCTCTTGCGAGAAAGGCGTCCTGTAACAGGACTCCCAGCGGTCGTGTAAACGAGCGTCGAGAGGACGACCCGAGGCCACGAAGTCTTCAGCCGCAGCAGCAGCAGCACTGCTGAACGATGACGATGCTGATGCTCCCGAGGACTGTGGGCCGCACATCGCGTGCTCGCAGCTTCAGTTAGTTCGGAAGCCTGAAGCCGCGCGGAGATACCCTGGACAGTGCTGCGTTGTCGCCCGTTTTGTGGTCAATAAAAAAAAAACAATAATTATTAAGACATGAAAGCGCTCAGGACTAGTCCGCACTCTGTGAGAGAAAACAAAATAAACTTTAAATAAACCGTGGGAAAGAACATTCCTCATAACTCGCGAAATGTCAATTAGTGCTTGCAGTAGCTAAAATTCGAGTCTCTCTGAAAACCATAACCAGATCCGCACTTTTTCCGAGCCAAAATCAAAGTTTAGCAACGGAAAAATATCCTTTACTGACGGACAAACTGAACTGGCAACTTCCGCTTCCGCCGAGTGCTTCAACTTCAGTTTAATGTTAACTCTGGCAAAACCAAATTGACAAGAAGGAAATAAAGCAAGAGACCTAACAAAAAAGGTACTGAGACCAAGGACCAAAGTGAGGGTCGCTAAAGGAAGGAGTGCCAGTGGCAGTGGCAGTGGCAGGTGGCAGATGGCAGGATGGCTTATTCAAATATTAAACACATGGATTCGTTTGAATTTGGCATTTAAATTATTTAAGTTGACAAACACATACATATGTACAGACTACATACATTTAGAGACTTCGGATCGGATGCTTGGGCGTCTGCCACGCCCACTCGTCTGCCGCTGGACCATGTTTTCCGTGTGTCTCTTCTGTACTTTGTCTGTATGTCTGTGTTTGTGTTTGTGTCTGCCCTTCTGTACGAGCATTGCCTCCGTTTCGTTCCTCTCTGTTCCTTTCCCTTTCATGCGAGTACGTACTTCCTGTCTCCAGCTTCGAGTCCTGCCCTGGATCCTGCTCCTCGAGCTGCTTCCTCTTCTTCTCTCTAATGTTTGTTATTTATTTATAACGGCACTGGCAGAGCGTATCCTTTGAACTTTTCTGCATGAGTTTGTCGCTCCGTTTACTTATTTATATTTCATTCTCCACTTTCTTCGCCCCGTCTTCGCTTCGATTTCGATTTGGTTATCTTCTTTTTTTATGCTCGTATATCCTTTGACACGGGGTTCAATTAGTAGCGCCACCCATTGCCCTCCGCTTGTATCTGTTCGATTCTAGCTCTGTGTTTTTGTTCTGTTTTTTCAATTCCAACAAAAGGATCCGGTGAAACATATCGTAGAGCTTTGTCATCGGCCAGAAAGAAAAACTACATAAATCAACGACACTGCCAAAGCCAAGGGCAACAATAACTGGACGAAGCAATTAATTTTATTCAAACATTCAGCGGCGCCGCTCCGGCAGGAAGGACGAAAAATGGATTACGGCTGGCTGCTGTTTCTGTTCATCGCGCATTTAATTGGTAAGTTTTTTGTCTCTGTTTTTCTTTTCATTCGAAATTGTTGTCACCTGTCTGTTGTCGCTTTTCTCGCTGCTCTCCGATGATGTTTTTTCCGCGACTCGTGGCGTTCTGTGCGGCTGTTCCTGCTGTTTGCTTGGTTAATGACGCGGTTTCTGGGATTACGGAGCGTGTGTGTAGTGCGTTCCACTGCTCTCCATCGCCTGCTTCCATCAAATCCTTCTCGCTTTCAGTCGCATTATTTGTGTTATTATAATTGTTATTGCTGTTGGGCCGAACAGCAACCGCAAATCAATATTGGTAAAGTTTTCGCTTCTGGCCAGATTTCCGTCACAACCGCCCTGCCCTCCCGACCTTCGGGCTGTTTTAATGACTTTGCCATAATTTCCACGGCTCCTGGTGGCTGTGGTGCCGCTGCTATTGCAGTTGCACTTTTCACTTGCCACTTGGCTGGCTCGTGGGTTCGGCAGCCTTCATCCCTTTTGGCATTTGGTAATTTCTGCTGCCACAACTTTTGCCTCCGCTCATTCTGCAGCGTCTGCTCCTGCTGCTGCTGCACATCTTGAGTGCAGTTTAAACTTAAATTGTATTTTTGAAATGTTCGCAATTAGGCAGACTGCCAAAGGCATCCTCCGTCTTCCCCTTCCTCTTCCTCTCACTCTCCCCCTCCGTCTCTTGAATTGCCAATGGCAGTGGGGCAATTAATTTGCAGCGCATTAAATGAGCTGACGCTCTTCGCTCCTCTGCTTATACTTCACACAACGCGAACTAGAACTAGCAATGGCACGAGTACTCCTCCGTTTGCGCGATGGTAAAGTTCACTGCAATGCACTTGGTACTTGTACTCGTACTCGTACTCGTACTCGTAATCGTAAATTGGGAAAAGAAAAAGGAAATGGCCACAGCAGGTTTTCACTTTGTTTGATTGTTCCCCGTTACAGAATTTAAACTGTGGCATTGATTTTACGAGAGGCTTTACATATATGTATGTTTCCTTTTCCGACATAGTGTAAGTCCTTTCAAATAAAAACACAATTGAAATATAAGCTGTAATGTATTTTTAATGCACAAAAGTATTAAAAACAATCGCATTTAAGAGATTGATAGAGTAGATAGAGGAAATAGATAGGGGAATAAATTTAATAATATTTTAAATACATGAAATATTTAAATTACCCCCCAAATAAATTAAATAAATTGAGTTTTTGTGGTTTGAATGCTTTTCCAATTAATTTTTTATATACTTTAGTTACCAATAAAAGAATTTTTGGTTGTCTAATGAACTGAAACTCATTTTTGGAAACTTTTCGCCACCCACTGATCGGGTATATGAAAAGTTTCAGTTCACCTGCGAGACCGCATCTCCTCTCCGTCTGTGGCTGACACATTTTCCTTACACACCTCCGAGCACATTCATTCGAGGGATTCCTGAAATCCAGGACATTCACACAAAGAACTCCCACACAGAGGCAGACGGAGCAAGGGGTAGCAGAGCGGAAGACAGAGAGTGGGTGAGAAGGAGTGGTCTGTAACTTTTCAATTTCTAAGGAATACCACAGCTGGACCCTCCCCAGAAATACTTATTACGAGTGTTTGCCATGTGCTAGCTCCTTTGGGCAACAATTTAGCCTGCCTAATGGAATTAAAGATTGTCCATTGTGCCGTTTCAATGTACGATGTCGCCGTGGCTACAAAGCATATATAACAAATAACAAATAGCTTAGTCCTCTTTATTTTGCATTGAAAATTAGTTGCCCACTTGGATCCTCTTCTATTTCCACTCACTATGGCACCCCCAGTCGGACCCCAATTATTTTAAGATGCAACTGCGTTCTGCTATCGTCCGAAAACACTCTGCTTATTTGTTATTTAGTTATATATTTCCTCTTTTTTTAATACTTTGTGGATTCTTGTAGAGGGATATGACTTCTAATCAAATGATTATACATATATGCACATGAGCTGGCCACAAAGGACAAACTCATTTCTAGTTTTACTTTTAGGTGAAAATGTTCCAGTCTCACAGAAAAAATTCCATGGCAAAAATGTTTCCATAAATGTCTCATCCCGGCGTCTCTAACTGAATTTATCACCAAACTTGGTCAGAGCTGCCCCCTCTCCCCATGGACACCTAGAGAGTATCTAGTCAATCCCAATGCACATACACATGTAAATTTTGTCCTGCGTGGGATGGTACGGGTTTGGTCGGGCTCGGCTCTGGTCTGTGGAGTAAATGCGTTTGCCAGACCAGACACGAATGAAATGTGTAGGTTAATTATCAGCAAAGTTTTCATGTGCTGAGGTGTAAATATATCTATGTTTGTATCTGCATCTCTGTACATCCGTACACGTCCCAACCCCTGTGTGTGGTTAGCCGAGCTGGGAAAGGGCTTAGCACACAAACACACCAGGCCAAAACCGAAGGGGGTTGCCGTTGCCGTTGCCTTGCCCCAAAACAAATGGAAGAGGAAGGATTAAAGTTCTCATTAGTTTTGGTTGATTTAAAAGCAGTTTCGGACTGGGGCTTACGACTGCTCACGCAAGCAAAACTTGCTAATGAATTCCATCAATTTTCCACACGCCGGCCAAAGTATTTCGGTATGGAAATCAATTTAGGCAAAGTATTTAAATCCATATACTATGGGCTCATGTATGTGTTATTGGTAAGTTAAGTGTTTTCTTGTATTCTATTTAGCTTAAAGGTGCAAATAGCTGGGATTTTGTTACTTAACCTTACACTTCCAACTGATTTAACTGAATGCCTATTCAAATAAATATCTTTATCAAAAGAGTGTACGCTGAGGGATACTATTCAAAGAAAAGGTTTTTTAATTGTGTCTTTAACACAAAAAAGTTACGCTATATAATAGATTATATGCGTAATATATAAGAAATCATTCAGTCGAAACTTTACTCAATTTATTTCTAACGAGTTCTTCTTCGAAAATATAATTTGGTATTCGAAATAAGGATACATTTACATACATGAGTATCTATCCTGACATTTACTTTATCTTTGAACTTTGGTCCCCGGTCCGAGTCTGTCATCCTGCAGCGAACGCATTCCTCGGCTCATGTTAAATTTATATTTTGAAACACAGAAGCCGAGTCGTTTGACAGTTGGTTTGTTCGCATTTCTTATCAGTTCTCGGTCCCCGTCCACCACCCACTGAAGTTTATTCAGCTTGTAGACAGGCTTATCGCTGGCCAGCACTGCCCCCTGAGTGGGTCCTGGTCCTGCCATAACTATCGTACATATGCCAGTTACATATGGCCCCGTATCCCATATCCATTGCATTTTGTTGCGCTTAGTCCACTTCCTCTCTCCCTCTTTCTTCATCTCTCCGTCCATCTCTTTCTGCTGCAGTGGCACACCCTGCTACCTGGCCAACTAACTGTTTTGCATATTCATATCATGAAATTTCAAATTTATTCGATGTCTCATGTGCCAGAGGATGGCAAGCCCATGCAAAAATTTGTAAACCATAGCCCATCGCATATCCCATCGCCCCCTGTATTGCAGGTCAGTAACCTACGTGAATTAAAAATTACTCATCCCCAAACGCCCCCAACCACAAACCGACCAACATTCCCGTGTGTTGTGCATCGCACATCCCTATGTTTTAGACACCAAATTTTGTCATTGGCCTGTGGCCGGGTTCCTGTGTCCGATGCCGATGCCCGATGCCCAGAGGATGCAGGAGCCTCTAGTTTTGAGCCTGTTTATGTTGCATGTTACGGTGCCATGCACCTGCGGCCCACCCCAGAATCGATTACAGGAAATAGATCGGGATCCCTGCAATCGGGCACTGCTTTAATCATTTTGTTTCAGTAACAAAGCTTTTGTATTTTGTTTAGTATTGCATTTGAATGAACAGAACCATCGTTATCTCGTTTCATTGAAATTCTTCTTGTTTAAGCACTTTTAGAGCTTAAGATAGAGCTCGAAATAGGGCTGGTGTTTAGGAACAGTATTTAAAGCCACGTTGGCTAGGGCTCAATCCTTGAGTAACAATTTCAATATGGAACTTTTCTAAAACTTTAAACCAATATTCTTTCTATTTGATATTTAATTATTATTAAATAACACAAAACCATAAGAATGACCCCGTTTTTTGCCCGTTTCTTTACTTCAGGTTATTCAAGCGTCTCGGCCCTGTTTGTTACGGACATAAGTGTGCCAGAAATAGTAGACTTTCGGGACAACGTGACGCTCTCCTGCAGCTATGACATGCGAGGACACACCCTGAACTCTGTCAAATGGTATAAGGATCACGAGGAGTTCTTCAGGTACTGTCAATGGCGAAATCTGCTTGCATGAACATCGTTTTCATTGGCTCTTTCCCGCGATCAGGTATTCTCCGCTGGCTAGTCCGATCTATATGACCTTTGGCGTGCCCGGCCTGCAAGTGCTCGACGGCAAGTATCTGTGCAACGAGTCCAGCTGCAGATTGGACCTAAGCCTTCAGGGTGCCCGGTCGACGGGCTTGTACAAGTGCGAGGTCAGCGGCGATGCACCGCACTTCAAGCTGGCGGACAAGGCAGACAACATGACGGTGGCAGGTGGGCACACGCCGAATAGCACTTTTCCATTTGTCCCCCTGCTAATTTCTGGCTTCCATTAACACAGCCCTGCCCCAGAGCGACCCGCTAATCGAGAGCTTCAACTCGATGTACCGCATGGAGGAGTTCCTGAGCGCCACATGCTCCTCGGACTACTCCAGCCTACCCACCCGGCTCACCTGGTACATCAACGGCGAGCAGGTTAGTGTGCCTAGTCCACGATCCCCCGTCTCTTGTACCTGTCCCCATCCCTGTCCTTGTCGCCCAAGCCATGCTATTGTTCTACCTCGATTTCCCGCTTATTGCAGCCTCTGCTGGGCGAGCTGCAGCCCACCATCGACACCAGCATCCCGGCTCACGACTATGTGCTGCGTCGCCAGCGGCTGCAGGTGCACTTTTATCTGCAGGGACAGCGCTTCTACCAGGCTGGAAAAATCCTCGAGCTGAAGTGCGTCGCGGAAATTGAGAATTATCCGGAGCTGCGGCGGGAAACGTCACTCAGTGCCTCACTTTCGCAGTTCGATAATTTGAACAATCAAATGCTGATACATGCGGGCACCAGTAAGTGCCAAACCCCCCTTACTTCCACCTTTTCCGGTTCGGTTTTTGGTATTGGTTGTGCACCAATTTAGCATTTCGTTTCGTTTGCCTCGGTTTCGTTTCGTTTCAATGCAATTAACTAACCGCCGTGACATTTCCTCTGGCTTATTTGTCTTTTCCTTCCTTTTTCTCCCGACTTGCAGATTCTGGGTCCGCACAAAGGAGCCGCGCCTGGGCCACGACCTCGCTAATTTCCGCCTGGCTGGTGACACTTTTTCTCGCACTGTGCTTTCGACGCCCCTCATGAACGGGCTCCAAATTGCTCAGGGGATCGGAGGCGGAGTTGGAGTGGGAGTTGGAACGGGTTGCGCCTCGTACTCGTTGGGCGACTTTGTCAACTATATCATCACGTTAGTTAGTTAGTCAGTCAGCTAGTCACTTAGTTAGTTAGTTAGTTAGGGTAACACACAAAGGTAAGACCGCAAACTAGTCAATAGGCAAAGCTTTCGGGTGTAAATAGGGTTGAAGTTGGAGTTGGAGTTGAAGTCGTGTTGAAGTTTACAATTTTTAGAGTGTGCCAAATATTCACAGTCAAACGAAATCAGGTTGAAGATTAATGCAATTCAAGAAACTTCATTTCACGTGAATTTAATTCATCTATTGTTTAAGTATACGACAGATAAGAAGTGATCTATTTTCAGTAATACAGTATGGTCTTCGAGCCAATTGAATTCATTTTTGGTGAGGAAAAACATACACATATTGCTTATCGATAAATTTGATAAATTTCACGTGGTGGTGTGGACCTTGTACACGAATGTTTTCAAGTTGATTAGCTGAACAAACACGAAAGGGGAAACTTAAACAAAAAAAAGAATACGACCTGCCTGATATTCCGATACTATCCTGAATAATGTCACTCGCCAGCGAAGCGATCGAATTTATATCGAATGTATGTATATAGATGTAATTTTTTCCGTTCGTTGCTTGGCAATTGAATGACAAACACATGCGTTTGTAGAGCACATTGAACACTTTTCGAGTACTATATTTATCCGCACACCACGAGTATTTGTCCGACGCGACCGTGACGCCAAGTGGATGGGTCATGGGTTATGGGCTACGGGCTACGGGAATACACAACCCACATATGAAACACATATTATGCATATGAAACATAATAAAAATATATGAATTACATACAAAAAAGATGGAATTAATGGAATAACATGAGATTTTATCAGTGAGAAATATGCAGATGCTGTAAAAATCATTATAATTAAGTCTAGCATAAATATGCTGTAAATACAATTTTAAACATTCAAAACAGAGGACAAACAACTATAAATCATGTCATAAAGCCAGACTCCTACAAAATACGTACATAAATATGTACATATGTATGTGTGTATGGGTATATGTACATATGTAGGTGTTTGAATGTATCTCGGCCTGTCCTTGCGGCGTCCAGCCATAACGAGTGCCAACTAAACCAAATCGCAGCACATAGTAAGTTTCATTTGGCTGAGCGACTACAAATATAAACTAAATGCTAACCACGGGTCGATGTCCTCTCGTTACCATAAACAGCAACAACAAATGAAAGATATTTTCCACTGAGAGTGGGACAGAAAAAAGGGAATGCATACTCAGGCTACATTTAACAAAAAACAAAGAGAAACCAAAACCAAATAAAATAATTCAGTATAACTTGATATACATACTTAACGAAATGAAGCCTGAAAATTTTTGAAATCACTTTTGTTAATAAATATCCAATTAAAATAAAGCTCTGAGCAGAGTGTGTGCTGAAAAAAGTGTGCAGAAAATTAAACATAAATGTATAAATTAATTTACCTACTCATTCGCACGTCTTTCGGTTGTAAAGAATAAAACACACACAAATCAGAAATAACGAATAACGAATAACGACTAATGATAATGTATTGTACATATATAAGAGCATTTGTTTCCGTTTTTTATTTGCCGTACGGCCATTAAATTGTGTAAAATATTTCAAAGGGCAGACTGCTTCATGGAAGGCGAGAAGGCGGGAGAATCGCATTTAATTTTTTTTGTTCTCTTGCTGTTCATGAAAAATTCAAATAAATAAGATAAATAAATAATTCAATTTATGGATTCAAATGCGTTTATTCAGACTACATATCGCTAATCTGCAGCATTACAGACAGGTCGACGCAGTTCCATTTCCCTATGCGGTCGTGTGAGTTTTAATTGAAAGCTATGTCCCTGTCCCGACCAGTGGTGGTGGTCTGCAGACAATACATATGGTCAATATGTGCATCGGCCCGCTTTCACTGAGGCCTGGAGCTATAAGCCTTTAATAAGAGGATTTCCAAAGTTTGCCCCCGAAAGCCGGCAATAGATTTTGAGGTTCGGCAGTGTGATGTGTGCTGACAGAACATTTCTTTGTCTATGGCTTTGTGGTTCACCTGTGTGGAAAAAGAGATAATTTGAGGTGAGGCGCCATTGAAGAGCAGAAGAGGTCAACGTCTCTTCTCAAAAGTTCCAAGGGACTTGTTACTGCGAAACACAATAGAATTGTATTAAATTCTCTGAAAACTTCCTCACACCCCTGGCAGTGATGGAATGTATAGTACTCGTTTAATTTGAAATAATAACTTGTTTAACTACGCAAATTTGCACAATTAATTATGCTAATGAGGCTCGGCACAGCCGAAACCGAAAGCCGGGCCAAAAAGGCAACGGACAGCCGAAAGCCGAGAGAGCTTAAACAATAAAAAGGGTTAAATAATTAATTTCAATGCTGCTGCAATTAGTTGCCACTAAATGTTGCATGAGTTCTGTCCAAAAGATAGGCGCCATGACGAACACGAAAAGGGCGACGAAGACTCCGTCAGCGCGGACAACCAGAAGATGACGAGAAGACAGAATGAAGAAAAAACACAAGAAAAAAATATAGCTGACAAGGGCCAGGACCACTTAATGAGCCCGGACCCCAGCGAGAGCCGGACCTTCGAGCTAATCAAATTAGCTGGCCATGGACTTTTGATCAAGAATGCGCCACTTTTGAAATTTTCGCTCCATTTCGCGCGGCGCCACATGGCGTATGCGTAATTTATGTGATTTTAATTAGCAGGACAACGCCTGCGTCTGTTGGCTGCTGGCTGTCGTTTGCCTGCCCGTACCCCTGCCCCCGAATACATGCATGACTTATGACGCCTAGCTGTCACATTCATGATTCGGCAAGTACACTTAATTGAAATTAATTCTGCATTATTTTCTTCTGATTTTCTTGTGACTTTCTGGTGTTTATTTCCAGCCTGAGCCTCAGCCTCAGCCTGAGCCTAAGCCCGCCAGTCGGCATGGAATTTCAAACATTTTCAATTAAAAAAAGGAATGGCAGACGCAGACAGAGCGCATGCCAAGTCGAAGTCGAAGTTCCGCTGGGGGAGACGCATCCCGGAGTTGAGTTGCGTCTAAGTTACCGAAAAGAGATCCAAAATAAAGTGAAGTGAATTTTTCGCGCTTTGGCATTTGTCAAAGTTTCCCCCGACTCGCTGCTCGAGTGTCCTTCTGCTCGAGTTTTTTGCTGCTGATGCCGTTGCCGTTGCTGCAGTCGTCGCCTGTTTGCTTTTCATTAAAATCCATTAAAATGCTGCAAATCAAATTAAAAGTTTCAACTTTTCTTATTCCTCTCCCCCGCTCCCCGCTGGCAGCTAAGCAGTCATCTGGCAGTTGGCAGTTGGCATCATTGTCAGAGCCGCCGCCATCGTCGTTTACGGCTCCCCCAAACTTCGATGGGTCCGCGATCGGTCCGGCAGTGGGGGACTTCCAGTATCCTGCTCTTCATTTGCATACCCAACATTTTCAAGTGACAATTGCAAGTCTTTTGCCCACCCCTGCGTTCCCTATGATGTCTCTGTTTCTGCTATAATGCAGAAATTACTTTTTAATTTCATTGTTAATTCGTTGAATTTGTGCTTGGCCTCAGGGAGCAGTCGGCGGTCATTGTTTATTAATTACAGCCGGAACAACTCATCGATAACAAATATTGAGATCCAACCGAATCTGTTATGACCCGTTGACCTATTGAGCGCTACGTGACCCACAATGACTCATTTGTATGTGGCCGGGCGGCAACCTCATCGAGCCGCATGCCACGCATACCAATCAGTTGTTGACACAAATACAAATGCCGTCAGCTCCCAGTTGCTTATTCCCAAATTGATATGCAAACAGCAGCAGCCCCTGCAGAGGTCTCAGCAGCAGCCTCATCCTCATCTCCAGTCCCATCCCCAGTTCCATCCCCATCCACAGTCCCATCCACAACCCTAGGATGGTCGGAAGTCTGCCTCACCTCCTGAACAAAATACTACTGTCGGGGCAGAGATTTCAATTCTGATTCAAGGCTGTATAGGATAGTCAGAACTGGTTAAGTCTAAACACGGAATGGTAGTTGGTTCAGGATTAGTAAATATTTAAGGGAAAGTTTCCGTACAGTCTGTATTTTGGATAGTTCCCTTTTGCCCAATATTAGATATTCAGAGCGTCTAAAATCCAATGAACAAAGCTAGTTTAAATGCATTTAAGACAACCAGAAATGTTCTAAATTCTTTTAAAATATCGCTTAAATATAGTAGGAGATGGAAAGAATGATGAAAAATAGTACAAAACTTCAAGTTTGGGTCGGTATATGTTAGGCATATCCACTCTATCGACACATACTAAAAGCCATATGAAAAGTCGTACATTTTTTTAATCCATATGTATATTCTTGTGGGTATTCGCTCTGATGATGCCGAGTTAAAGCTATAAAAGTGCACAAAGTGACAAAATCAACATTTTTTAATTAAAAAAAAAGCGGAAAAATATAAACATTCATACATATGTGTGATTGATTTCAATGTGAATATCATTGGTTTTGTTTCTTAAATTTATTAGTATTTTATTTAAATTTTGTTTTGTTTATTTGTTAAAGAATTTTTTATTGTCATTAGCGAATGAAATATGACTTATGTCATATATCCATGGATAAATTTTCTCATTTCTAAATTTATCAGAATAATCTTAAAAAAATTGTTTTTTTTCGGTGTCCATGTTAAATATTAAGGGTGTGTTTAATAATTGTATAATCACAAAGGCATAAACTTCAATTAACCGTTTCTATGTACAGTTTATTGTCTAGCTGAAATGTAGAAAATTTGAAAATGTTATCCCAATTTGAAAAAGAATTCCATGTCGCATTGAGTTGTTTCCCAACTAAAGATATCCCATTTACCCTGCTCACCTTGAGTAAAACTTTTCAACGGTTTGGCCACGTTTGGGGGGTAATTGAATATAGCGGCTTCATCCATTTATGTAAATACGTGTATATTGTTTAGTTGAATTATTTTCCGCCTTTTTGCACATTTTTATTTTGCCGATATTATTTCCATGGCTCATTCTCATCCCATTCTCGTTGTCTGTAACCAGATTCCGGCTTCCTCCCCTGCTTTCTCCTTGCTTGGCCGCACATGAGTTTTTATAGTTTTTCATTATTTGCATAGGGCTTATCTCTGGGGAGAATTAGTATAAAGGAGGATTCCAGAACAGCGAGAGAAGTTAAGGAGCAGGGCCACGGCCACGTGGGACTGGGTTCAGGTCCGGAGCGAGGAGCCAGGGGCCAGGGGCCAGGGTCCCGGTTCGGGCAGCAGGAGCCAA